TTCCCATTTCCAAGAACATTCATATATGAGAGAGTTCCTGATAGCATTAAATCATTATCAAATAACAAATAAGCTAACATGATTAAAAACAGAACAAATTCTTTCTAATAATATCCAAAATGTATTTTTTTGTTTTCTGAAATGACAATGGACATTTAAAACTCATTTGCACTTTTTCTAAAGTTTTCAGTTGTCCAAGCTAGATGATTTAACTGAGAAGTTTTCATTGTCATTCTAGGGAACATCATTAGTTTTTATTTATTTTCTATACGGAGTAAGAGCTGATAATGTTATTCAGGTTGATAATGAAGGCTTTTTAATTAAACTATGTAGCTTAGAGAACCTAAAAACCCTGAGAAGGAATCTTTCCTGCTTATGAATTGTATAATAAGTTAACATTAAAATAAAGGAGTCGTTAGGAAGTCACATATAATCAATAAATCTTTCATTTCGTTCTGTAAATCTTCATTGTATTGATACTTTGTAGTATTTAAATGAAAAAATCTCTTAACTGTGAAAGAAAAATAATTTTTTAATGAACTAATCACAAATGAAAGTAACAGATTTTGATGGAGGTCCGTTCTCGGAGCTGGATGGTTTCATCGTTCCTCTGAACAACATCATCAGCACAAACTTCAAGTAGAAGTGAAGTGTTCGAATTTCTCCATACATGACTGCCAGCTTGTCAAGATCGAGGTCTACAGGACAAGTTGTGAACCATATGTGGAGAAATTTGAACACTTCATATCTACCTGAATTTTATGTTGATGTCAGCTCAGAGAATAGAACTCCAGGAAAATCATTTACCTGAGCTACAAATCTCCACCATCTCGAAAGTAACAGATTTACTTTATGAAAATTAGAAATTCCGAATATCTGGTCGATGATATATTTTATTGAAGTATTGTAGAACCAATTCAACAGAATTTATCAACAATTCATGTTTCTTAAAGTCATAGATACTGATAAGGTAAATTTAAAGTTAACATTATGAACTGACTTCAGCCAAATAAACACTGGACACTTATGTCTAATTAGCTCATCAACGATTTAACTCGACACTTAAAGACCTCTTAGCTAATATGTTATCTCCAGACAACTGGGTTGTTTATAGCAAAAAGCCCTATCAGTAACATAAATCAGTGCTTCACTCAAATCACAACCTTGATAGTTCAGTTTCGTTTCAAGATATTACAGTAACCAATAGTTTCTATTTTTTAATTACAAACAATTCGAAATATCTCAATGGCTAAGATCATGAGTTAGTTGAAACTAGACCACCATGGAAAACCTGGAAGCACTGGACGGCCGTTTCGTTCTATTGTGAGACCCCTCAGCAGTGCACGCCCACGAATCTCGCAAGGGGCGAGGTTGTTGAAATGTAGTAATATGATGGGATAAAAAGACCAAAATAACGTTCTTAAACTTATTGTGATTTTCGTTCAACACCACTTCTATTTTTTATTCAATTCGATGTTTACTCAGTGTAATATTTGTTTTTTCAGTGTAATCTTTTATTCAGTACAAAGTCGGTTTATTTCACTATGATGTTTATTCAAGATGTGATATTCTTGGTATTGAATTAACGTAAAGTATGTTCAGCAGGACATATAAATGATCTTTTCCGAATTAATAATCAAGTGGGTTTGAAAATTAAAGGGTGTAATTTCGACTCGGGTTGTCACGTATTTTGAGGTCAATAAATCTTCTTTTGTATCAATCATTTGTGCTCAGACTTCACGTGGTAGGAATTGTAGATGTTCTTCATTCCCATGTGTAAGTAATATGTGACGCGGATTTAACACTAGCAACCATTAGTTATAACATATAGACCAGTGGATTTCAGCATGTTTATCTATAAATGGTATGTTCATCACGAGTTCCGGGTAATGTAGGCTTGATCCGACATAGGATCATAAGTGTTTACTGTTTAAGATCAGTTATCCAATGTTTCCTATTTTCCAATATTTGGATGGTACAGGTCAATCTCTAATTTAATCTACCAATTGAATAATCTCTATAAATTTATGTTAATGAAAAGGCAAATCTCATTTTCAGCTAATCTTGAAATCTTAATTCTTTCATTTCTAACATTTACTTTCCATAAAAAAACAGTCTATTTTATTTATTGTTCACTATGAAATTCGGTGTAAATTATTTTCGTTCACTGAATTTACTTATATATGCACACACACACACTTCAAGATTTTCAAAGGACGTCTATCGTTTTAATTGAACACCATCTATTTCGACCAATCAATCTGAATCACATGCAATATATTTTATTATTTAAAAGCACACAAAAGGTTTCAATGTTTTAATTTACTTGATATTGTTTACTTGAATCTTCTCATTGATGTTGAGGACTGCAATTGATTAGTCTCTTGTATTACTTTAATTCACATGCATTATAAGCAAAGATGGATAGTCGCTAGCAGTAGAATCCAGGATGGATGTTTCGTATTATTTGGGAAACGTCAGTTGGATGTGCTTGCATCTCAGATTTGATGTTCACTTTGTAACTCGAACTCAGTACCGTTCGTTTCAAACGCAATCGCGTTATCCACTTACCTACTGATTTCTGATAGCCACTTGTTTGTGCAATGTGGTGAAGTTTAAATCCACTTGGTATTGTTTACTTGAATCTACCTATTGATGTTTAAGACTGCAATTGATCAGTCTCTGGAATGCAGTTACGTCCAACTGACAAGTCCCAAATAGGACAAAAAGCGCATCCTGGATTCTACTGCTAACCACTATCCATCTTTACTTATAATGTTCCAATGTTTTGTTTTTAAAAAATAACAACAGTTTGTTAAATTACACCATATAATCATATGTTTATTTTCATAGTTCATTTTAAGTTTTATGAGCTTATATTATGTTTGAAATGGATGACTGCTTTCATTTTCCTAAAATGGTATATTCAATTTTGTATGTTTGTCAATACTGTTCGACTTTGTTCATTTTGTTTTTCTTTTATTGATAAAGTTACTAGTAGTGTGAAGAAGATGGGGTTTTATCCTTTGTTTATATCGAAATAATCATTTGTAGGGTACTGACTAAATTTCAAATAAATATAGATTATGTAAGACTCTCTTCAACTACTACATATCTTAGCATACTTCGTGGTATATTGAGCAAATGATATTAATGGTCACATTGGGAGTTGATCGATAGAATTTGATTAGCACTTAAGGCATTGAATAAACATAGCATTAATCAGTCAAGCACAAGTGTCTCAGTCCTAAAAACTTTTAGTCGAAGCTCGGATAGTTCAGTGGCAATGTCTAAAATTACAATGCTGATTGACATGTGGTCGAATACGTCGAAGAGCTGCAGTGTACTCAAGATTACAGGTACACTTTACTGACAAGGGCAAAATAGCTCGATAACTAGGTCACATAGGGTATCCTATCGACTACCTCCAACCACCTTTGTATTGTATGAAATTCACTTTTGTAGACTATTTCACCAAAAAACTGATGTTTGTTAGTGAATCATTGTTACCTGAAGTCATCAAACGGTTGGTTTGCCGCAATTTAGGATTTTCTAGCAGTTGGCACCTATTATCTTATATGGAGCAAATTAGGAAGTTTCAAATGGTTCTTCAAGAAAAATTCATTCAGACTAACAAGATCAAATTTAAATATACTTTGAGGAATAATTTGACTAATCTATTGCCTCGAATTGAGAATTTGACATAGTCAAGAGTAAACTGACTTTACTTAGATTTCACAAGTTGAAATCATGAGTCAATTGAAGCTAGACCACCATGGAAAACCTGGAAGCACTGGACGGCCGTCTCGTCCTGGTATGGGACTCCTCAGCAGTGCGCATCCACGACCCCGCGTGATTCGGACCCAGGACCTACTGGTTTCGCGCGCGAGCACCTAACCATTAGACCACTGAGCCGGCATCCAACGGTGTTAATGTCTTAATGTATTATTTGATAGGTAAAGAAAAAGTTGATGATTTAAGTTATTTTCTACATTATTTCTTACAAATTTAAACATGCCACTATATTTGTTTATCGAACAGTAAACCTTATACCCGATTGAACATAAACGTACATCGATTTTTTTATTCCTCTCATAAGTAATAACACTAAGTTCAACTTTAGCATAGTACATTAGAAGGATATTATACCTGCCTGTGAATTAATAGCACATCTGTCTTTCAATGGTGAATACATGTGTAATATCTAGTATTCTTCCATTCATTTGATAGGTAGACATTGAGTATAATAACTATATTCTTTCACTGACAATTTCGTTTCATGCTCTAACTTTTACTTTAAATGTTGTTTTCATCTAGCAAGTTAGGATGTGCTCTAGTGTCCTGTTTTAATAGAAGATATATGTATATAGCATGATATGATTGAAATGAAGTCCCTTGCAAAAAATTATACTCTTATTTGTAGTATTTAATCGTTAAAAATGAACGGAAAATATGCTTAAAAACGCTAGATAATGCACTTTTGCTCAACATTAAAAAAGAGTGGCTATTCTCATACACACACACACACACACACACACTAGACTAACCAAACTAGTCTTCTACTTTCAAATCAATAACTATAGTTGAAATGGAGAGATGAGATCGTAGTATTTCAAAATATATAGTTGTCGAAAGGTATTATATTCTCTGTGTTAGTCAAAAGGTCCTGGTTTTCATTTTAGTGTGTGTATGTTTGGTCGTGAGTGCAAATGATTGATGAGTCATACAAAAACGAAATTAATTATAAGCCATTTCTCTAATTGAACTCATTTCCATAAACTACCTAATGTAATAGTGGAATAAATCTAACATTTACAATTTCCCTGTTGTAAACATGCATGACTGAAAACTAGTGTTTACTAAAGAAGAACATCATTCTTACTATATATCACTTAAAACTGGCCACTCCCCATAGTAATAATAATGCCTATTCTTCTTCTTCTTCTTCTTCTTCTTCTTCTTATTCTTATTATTATTATTATTATTATTATTAAGCATTAATCATTTTCTAGACTCTTGAACTGATAAAGTCACTGTTAGGTTAATTATTGGGTTTTGTCGTAAAACCAGATAGGCTATAGGGAAAAAAAGTTCAGCAGATTATGGATTTGAGGTTTTAAATCACAAACTGACATTTGTTAGACACTTATTAAAGACATAGAAGCACCATTATATTTTAGTAATGAACTTCGCAAAAAGGTGCACCAACTATCCCACCAAAAATCGAACCCACTATCTTCAGGTCTCACTGTAAGAGCTTAACATTCAGACCGTGGTCGTAATCACTTACATCGGTAATATTTTTTTAAGAGTTTAACAGTTGAAATCTACAAAAGGCTTGCCTTGAAGCCTAAAGAATCTGGGTTTCATCCTTTGTATTGTTTTGGATGTGCATTACTGAAGAATCGCATAATGGGCAAAACAGTTGTCCAGTGTCTCTTGGTTTTTAATAGTCGTTTAACTAAAGTCAGTCTGTAATGTAAAACTTTAAATACAACAGTCTCCAAAACAATCACCAAGAAGCTAGATTGGCTAGGTTGTATTGTATCATATTACTATTTTTAATTTTGACTTTAAGGCTGAAATACAATTACACAATGCAATGATTGATGCTACTAGAAGTGCAAATAATTTAGAACGTTGTGTACTTGATTTTGAAGGTCGTCGATTGAAAGGTTTAAAAGTAAGTGCATAAGTTATTTATTAACCTTTTTCATACAATAGACATATTGTATACTAAAATCTATTTCTATAATAGTTATTATACTTATATCTGTCGACATCAGTAACACACACCACAACGGTAATAAAACGAATCTGAACCGAGTAGTTTGCATATGTTAAATGTCTCTATCCAATAGTCAGAGACTTCATGAACTGATGTCGTGTCTTGGTTTGGTCTCCCCTAGCTTTTTTCCAACTTTCTCTCAAGTCGGCAAACAGCGGGTTACGATAGATTATGGTTAGGGAGATATGATTCATATCTCAATCATTTATGCCAATGAAGACTCACTAACTTACTAACTAATTTGACATGTTTATCTCGCACTCCGTGTCTAACGTCAGCATTGTTCATTCCGTAGTCTCAACATAAGTGATAGAGGCTTCGAACACGTCTATGATCAAATCCTAGTAATCCACAAATATTTTTTTATTTTCAGAGGCCTCTTTTTGCATCCATACAGTTGAACAGAATGGACCGCTGCACAGCATATTCAGTCTTTGTTTAGCAACAAGACGGAAATTTTACCTATGTCACAAATGATGTAATTTGGCAAAAGTCAACCACGCTTTCTGAATTTATTCCAATATTTCGTCAGACACCAACCCAACGGTGCTGATGACACTTTCTAGTGGTCGATGCGCTCAACTAATTCGTAAACTATCATTAGTTCAAGGGTTGTCACAGATCAGCCCTAAAACACTTTACATCTAAAAAAAGAAACGCTATCCAAACCTACTTGTATTGTTGTTCAAAGTGATCAGTCGCTTGTTTAGAATTCTCCTAGTTTAGTACTATTAGTTCTGATTGAAATAAAATGGAGTTTTAAATAATAAGTGTATACTGTCTTAAAGGAAGTATACACTCGAATGAAACCATTTTTCCATGCTTGCCAGTTTTTTCAGTTGTTATTTAGTTGAAGCTTGTCAATAATAAAAATCTTTAATTTTAATAAATCATATAGTTAAACAAAAAATGAAGTAATGAACAATAATAACAACTCATTCCAGTCAATTCCTGATAAAGCCAATATTCTGCGGCTTGACCAATGATTCATGTTTCTAGTGAAAAGCCGTGATCAGTGGAGCTAAACCTTGTCAGGCTTGATGAAGGTAATCATCAAAGACAATGAAATATGGTCACACACCAACGTGGAATTTTTGAAGTTGGACTTGTACACGATTGTATTTTGAACCAGTGGTCTAGAGGTTAGTTGTTTGCATGGTTAGACCGAAGGTATTGAGTTTGAGTCCTGGATGCGAGGTTATAGATATGAACTGCTTAGAAGTCCCACATTAGGATAAAGTGACCGTTCAGTGTTTTCAGGTTCTCAATAATTGTCTAATTTTGATCGGTTCAATATTTGAACGAAATTCAGCAACCTCCACGACCTTATACTGAATATTCATCCAAATTTAGACATAAAGATTTTCATGACATGAAAAGAATGAATTTGATTCTTAATTATTTTTGTAATTATTAATTGCATTTGCTATTTTATTTAGAGAATTATAACTGATTTCATTCAAATTGAAATGTTGTGGCATGCTAAAGCATTGGAAACATTAACTTCAGCTTATAATGCAATTCAATTATTACATGAAGAAGCAGATCTGATTGAATTTCGTGGTACACTACTACGTTCTGGAAGTAATTTAACCATGTTAAATAATAGCAATAATCTTCCAATCAGTCAACAAAGTCTAACTATTGGTGATCAATCATCACCAATGATTTCTCCGCCAGTATCAATAAGAGATCATCGATCGTATCGGCCGTCATCATCTGTACATAGTTCAATGAATTCAATGAAAACTGGTAGTCGTTGTAGTTTAACATCATTAGGTCGTAATAAAAAGAAAAATCAACAACTACAAGGTCAAATACAACAACAACAACACGATCAACTTTCCTACTCCCAACAGTTACAGCAACAAAGACAACATTCCGGCATATCACATCAGGTAATTGTTTATGCCACAGCTGCCTTTATCATACATATATTATTTTAACATATAACCATGTTATATTATTTACAAGATAAGTTAATATTCAGTCAACTATTTCATTGATTGAGATGATTAGGACACGTGTTACACATGCTTATTCATTGTCTACTTCAAAGAGAAATGTTAGCTGGTGTATAGGAGCAAGTTGGAAGAAAGCTATGAGTGGTCAAACTGAAGTATAACTATCAGTTCAAGAAATTACCATTAGTCTTAGTCATGTAGGTAAGTGTGGATGACCTGGTTAAGATCTGAATGATCAGCTGAATATTATACAATAATATTATTTTCACAGTTGAATCATTAAATATAACAATTAAACAGTTCTGATTGAGATCAGGAATGGATTAATGTTAGACCATCATTGAAAACCAGGAAGCACTGGACGATCGTCTTGTCATAGTATGGGACTCCTCAGCTCACTGTTCTAGAGACAAGGCGTGCACGTGCAAGACCAGTCTTGGATTCGAATCCCGCGTGCGGGATTGTGGATGCGCACTGTTGAGGAGTCCCATACTAACGATTGAAGTGACCTTAAGGGTAATGAATTATTGCTCTTGTTTTCAGTCAGTTTAACATTCGATTAATTTGTATTCAGTAATCTCACAGTTTCATTGCCAATATTACTGAAATATAATAGTTCTATCCTGGTTTTTTCTGCATTTAATCACTACTCGATATTTACACCGGTTCTATCTAACGTCAAAACATTGTTTACACAATTTTGAGTAAATTCGACTGGTGATGACAGTGAAAAATAATAAATAGACTTTAGTCAACTCAGTGGGATGAAAAAACAGGTTAAATAGGCAATCAAAATATTTTAGTTCTACAGGAAGTCAGTCACCATCTGAATAGAATAATGGAAACACTTTTAATTCTGTCACTGAGAAAATGAGTGTTCAACATAAATGAGGATCATCAGTTCCTTCAAGACTTCATATTACATCATATTAATGAGAAGCAAACTGCATGACACTTAGATTCCATCGCAAAAAAGCGTTCCTCTACATCGATGAAAGGCATTAAGTGAATATTTTCGGATAGGGTGTCCAGTTGTTATTCAACTATTTTTTCCTAACCAGTTCCAGTCCATACAATCAATCATCCGAATTCATGATTTATACTTTGTTTACGTATTTAATTAGAAAATTTTCATTTTTTTTTATTGGGTTGTTATTTCATGTTGTGTTTCTAAACTTTTTTTCGTTTACAAACATTTATTCGAACGGAAATACTAAAGCAGAATGATGATGTAACAAGTTTATTTACTGAAGGAGACGATGATATTAGCAGTAGCCACAATGTTCAAGAAAAAGTAGATAACAGAAGCTCAGTGAATGGTTTACAAGATCTCGAAGATGATGATGATGATTTCGACGAAGAAGACAACACAGAAAATGATGATGATGAAGATGCTGAGGAAGATGAAGACGGTGAATATATGGTAAACAGTACTACTCATTCACCAACACGAATATTAAATCATTCTGTATCATCCCCAGCTGCGAATAGAATATCTGGATCCACGCAACATTCGCCATTGAAATCTGCACTGAAAACTGGAAGATCTAAATTATGATGACATGATATTTGGTTTTCTATTTTGTTGGTAGTAAATTTATCCTTTCATAATTATTCATCCATATATTAGTTCTCTTTAATAAAAAAACAAATAAACTGTATATGTATAACAAAATAACAGATTGTCTGAACAACTGCACATATTTTTTAATAGAATTCACCGTTCTTGTATTGAATATAAGTTGGTTTATTTTAATTCACTACACATTACATGACACTATATCACTCAATATTTCGCAAAAAATGTTACTTGCCTGTGTATATTACTTATTTCTTTAAAAAAGTAGTATAACTGTGTCGCATAAATTTATTGTCACATTTATCTCGTTTTTATATTTGATTTCATGTTCTTAGATTTTTCAATGCAAATTTAATAATGATAATATTTAGTAATAATGGTTGTGGTTTTCTGTTAAACAATTAGTTATACTCAATAATCCAATAACATACTATCTTTTGTATAAAAATTTTATTCGTTGAATTTCTTAGTTTGTAAATTCAGATAATCAGTAATATATATATATACATTTGGTCAAATTGTGAATGTGTTCATTGAAGTGTACTTTATCCCTATCCTAAATTCTGTCACTATTGACAAGTACTTTTTGGTATTATACAGAAAAGAAAAAACAAGATGTATGTTTTGATATTAGAAAAGAAATATATTACTGAATTCAAATGAATTGTTCTGACTAAAGATTAAAAGACAATAAACATTCATCGAAATTCTAGTTTAATTGGTTTGAATGAATCTTTTTTTTTGAGAGACAAGGAAAATTTAAAACTGGATAGAAAACTGTTATAACTTGTGAATATGTGTGCCCTGTTTATTGTATAACGCAACGATACCGCCAGTCAGAGAGCAGCGAACTATCGATCGAACCAGTGACGCATAAAACACGTGCGAGCAGCCTAGAGTCCTGATTGGTCCTGCTCTCCGCCTAGCCCAGCCAGTTAAGTCCAGAACACCAATCTCAGCCTCCGTGATATGAATCATGTATTTCAAACATACTGGGTTTATATACAAATCAAACAGACCACATCACACTATAAAATAGAAAATAACATTTGTACAATATTTGGCCAAAAGTGACCGTGAATGAGGGAGGTAGTGATTAACAGACAGGGAATAGTTCAAGAATGGTAAATCGTATAATAATAGTTCATAGGTCAAAATAAAACTCATAATAAGAGGGACATGAATATGAACAGTTTAGTTACATAACAATTACACGATAAAATATACTCATAGTATTGGTCCATAAATGGATCCCAAGAATTACCATTCACTATTCTTATCGGGAGATAACAAAAACTGATATGGCTCTATGTATGGAATATGATAGATAGACGTTTATTATTCATTGGAAATAGATTGAAAACTATTGCTTAGACTATTGATTTTTATATATTTTCTTTATGATAAGTCTTCAAACTGGAACTCTTCTAATTAATTTCAGACTGAATCTACATGACAACTTGAATACAAGAGGAATGAGCAGAAGATTAGTGAGAAAGATTTGTTCGACACTTAAAATACATCGAAATAACTTAAGAATACACCACTTTTTATATGATTGGTTTACAGTAAGATTAACAGTCATATTTGTATAAACTGAATCGAGTAATTCAATGAATTACTATAAGAACACAAATTTACAGTATTATACAACTAAACATCTATAATCCTTCTTAAGATGTGATACATGTCACACACGACTGGGAAAATTAGTTTCATTTATTATTCTCATTCCATTCAACTGAGCTATTACTCGCTCTATCAATTTACACCAATTGTTAGTCAGATTTTTAAAACTTTCAACTTCATATTGATGTAAGGCGGTTGGAGGTAGTTTATAGGTGACTAATAACCTACATTTTGTTCCATCCGTCAGAACGGCATACCTGTACATCCTGACAGAGTGCATATAATGTCAATTCACATAGACTATTGACCATGTTGTAACTTAATAGGTAGAATTCTATTAACACTAAGAAGGATTCGACATAAATGACACTTATCACAACTCACTGATCAGTCAGTTGTAAACTGTGTAGCATTAAACGTTACGTCAGTCAATGATTTACTGTAGGAACACAATTTAAGATATCATGAGACTAAACCTCTATAAGCAAGAAATGTAACTTATTTACCGAGCTATGATATTAATCCTTCCTAAAGTACGCTTATTAATAACTCAAACTACTGAGCATCTTATAAGAGACCAAGTTCAGATCTTTAACTATATTTTTGATAGATATGACAATAGGTCCAGTTTCTCTGGTTTACAATATAAACTACTTTTTATCATCAGTTTAGGGGTTGTGGAGATTGTTGAGTTTTTGATTGAGATCATGAACCGATTGATGTTAGACCAACATTGGAAACCTGGAAGCACTGGACGGCCGTTTCGTCCTATTGTGGGACTCCTCAGCAGTGCGCATCCACGATCCCGCTCGCAGGATTCGAACCCAGGGCTTTCAGTCTCGCGCGCGAACGCCTAATCTACTGGACCACTGAGCCGGCATACAATGGTGTTAATGTCTAACCTCAACCAATCCACGAAGTTGCGCGACCATCTTCCACTGCACTGAGGTAGACACCTGTTTCTACACGACACGGACCACCGTGACCACTGGAGCTAATCCGTACTTCTTATCAATTATCTTCAAGGATTTATCACTGAAGTTAGTAAATACCGTTTATCAGTTCATGGACTGGAAATCTCAGTTAATAGTTACATTCTGTTAGAACTTATAAGTTTAACAATCTGATTGTGATTAATATCTAATAACTCGAGGTGATCTCAGGTTCTATTAGAGGTATGAAATCGGTTATCATATCACGGTTACCTTTAACGTGAAAGTGTGATTTTTCGAGAAGCTTTTTGAGGGAAAACTAGGCTATAAGTTAAGTTAACAACCTGAAACCGAGACTACAAAGCCTGTTACCCATGGTTATTTTTTGAGTAGTTTCCGATGTATTTGCTTCGTAATTTTAAGGTCTCTAGGTCAAGGTAAAGCATGCTAGTTTCAGAGTTAAACTAAGTTGCTCGTTGTAGGGAGACATAGTCTTTACAGATAGTGGTTGTCTGAGGGAAGCACTTTATTCTTATCACTTCATCCTGTAACCAGTTTGTAATTTTAAATTTTCATACGGATCAATTTTATTCAACGAATTCATTTTTAAATTGTTTCACACCACAAACTGTGATACATACTGGAAAATAACTGAAAATCAAGAGACTGACAGAAGTTCGGAATATTAATTATAGGTTTTAAATTTATAGATCTAAACCTATCTTTTTATGCTAGGGTTGAAGCTATCACGAGTCCACTTAATCTGCGAACGAGAAACAAGACTCGGTGACCAAAGACCAGTAAGCTAGCTATTGATGCGTCCCAGTCCCGCTAACTAGAGGGAGAAGTCCAAGCTTGGAATGGGGAAGTATATTCTGCAAACAGCCAGAAACGAGCGATAACAACAAACACAATTCAAAACGTATATATATACAGTGCAAAACCGTCCTTGGGGAGAGTTACCAAATAGCATACTAAAAGACGCAACGGACCAATAGCATTTAAGATATTTCCCAGTGGAAAATACGACATGAAGGTGACAAGAGCACCTTTGGCGCGAAAACAAAGAAGTTCAAATTTTCCAAATAAAATTACAAAATTAAGTCCTTTCCCAAGTGAGTTCTGGGGATCTAACATCCCCAACAGTTTAATTGTATATGGGGTTATATGTGCATACTAACTAGTATAAACTGTTCAGGAATAGGAAGAAACGGTGATTTCGTATTCACTGTTTTTTCTGTAATTTTTATGAATGCTGTCAGTTCATCATAAAAACTAGTTTAAATGATAATTTCCGTTCGAATAATAATCTAACTCCAATTCATTATATTTTAGTGTTCTAAGTCGATTCAGGTCATATAAACAATAAAATTTAGCACACATTGTAGTAAACTCATTTATTTACCAAATATGTTATACTGTATAAGAGAGTGATAAATGTCAATATATGTTCATTTAACCCAGTTTTGTCATGATATAACGATTTTCTTTTACCCTAAAATTCGTGTTTTACTTCATATTACCTTAAAAGTATATAATGTATCATATAAACAGTTTCATCCTTCTTTTATTGTGTCAATCAGATTTGAGGTAGCGTGTCTTGGAGTTTAACGCGGAATTCATTCGTCCGTATGTCCAAAAAGGGGTGGGGATAAACTCCAAACTCAATCTCGATTTTGACCTTGCACCCAGCAACCAACCGTAATGAAGCGGGAATTCTTATTTACTCGATCGTAATTCATGATGGAAAGAGTGTTTCACTTGTTGTCGTCTTTGCTGGCTTACACAGATAACGGAAAGTTTTCTACGATGAAAATGCCGTTTCACCATGCTGCGGACATTTAAGATGTAGTGCAGTCAGTCTTGATAGAAGAAAAATTACAATATAGCAAAAGTCATGCTTCCAACTAATTCTACAATAGAAATTATTTTAAAATATCGACAACTGAGTGACTGAATAAATGAAAACATGACCGTGATTACTGACTACGATACACTTAGATGACTTCACAATGTAGAGTTTATCCCCAAACCTAAGTAGTACTTTGGGATTATAGCTGATGTTAGTTCGTGATGAAAACTAACCTAACTTCTAATTCTAAATCGCGATACTGACTTCTTATACTAAATTATGGTCTTCTTTAGATTCTACTGGAAAGGTGAACTTTCTCAACGTCACGTTGAGGTCGTCCATAAATGGTTGTCCTACTAGACTGTTAATTAGATGGGCTTACCTAAGAATCTGAAAAGCTGATTTGATAGTATTTCATACAATTTTTGTAAAGTAGCATTCATAATTTTAATATTCGGTCTGGAGGTGAATTTATACACCTATTTCCAAAGCGTTCGATTATCTGATTCAATCATTTTCTTGGAATCGTTAAGCAATTAAAGAGTAAAACTTGCATGTTGACTAATGAATAATATACGTTCAAAATTAAATAGGGATGGCTGAAAATGAACTTGACCATGAACCAGACTAAATTCTTTATTGATTATACCATATAAAGATTGTGATGTAAACTATAAGTCGTAGTGAATAAACATAATCTTATCATGATCACGAATCAATACTACTTAGACAAGTAATGAACAACTACTAAACAACTACTGGACATCTGCTTTGTCCTAATATGAGACTTCTCTGGATCCTGGAGGTTAAGAACTCACCTCAATAATTCAATTTCCTACGTTCCATCCGCAGTGACAGGTTTTTGTGTGCTCACTGCCGAGGAATTCCATACAAGAACAAAAAAGTTAGGTAGAATCCCATGGTTTTCAACAGCACTCCAAATATAATAGATCTGTAACGAATTCAGCCTATAAAAAACCTAAAGTTCTCAAAATTCCTATGATCTTATTGTTTAAATCTTAATAGTGGAGGATTAACCAATAGACATCAAAATGAAAATATTGAAAGCTTCCAGCTAAAGACGAAATTAGGGAAAGACAGTTTAGTTGCATAGTACATACATTATGGAAATCCCAAAACTGTATCACAAGATAACCCCTAACTCAGAATCCTTAAGGAGGGAAGGAGAAGAGGAATACCAAGTTACACATTGAGCTGAGAAATGAAATTAGACATCAAAATAACTGGAAAGGAATATCAAAGACAAAATTCAATCGGAGAATCCTGGTAGGCAGTTTATACTCCTTCATGAGGATTAACAGGCACAAGTAAGTAAGTAAGTATTTAACTTAACAAAATAGTCTAAAAACAAATTAATAAAATATATATACCAGATTAATTTCCATAAGATTTTGTTTTAATTTCAACACACAAAAATATTATATTTATATCATCATGAACTATTTCCGTACATCACATACTCGGGAAAAAAAGGAAGATTTTTATTCAAAGAAAATGTCAACTCTTTAGAAGAGCAAGAAAATTACGAAAGATCTGTTGAATTGGAATAGTTCAGTGTATTAATATTATTATTAGTAGTATTATAACCATCACTAGTCGAATTAATAGTATCATTATATAAATGTTGTTGAATAAATGTTTTGTGTGTAGTAACACTTGAAAATACATACCAACCATTTCCAGCTATTGATGTTATACCAATAACACGTCCATTGATATCAAATATAGGACCACCACTATCACCAACATCTGGTCCTTGATGATTACGATTAATATTAGAACAAATTGCTCCATTTGTTGGTATTTTAATATGTTTCGGACATTCACCTAATTTTATTATACCTATATAAGTAGAATTATACATAGTTATATATGTATATATATAAAAGAGAGAAAGAAAGAAAGAGAGAAAGAGAGGGAGAAAGAGAGAGGGAGAGAAGGGGGAGAATTAGTTACTTACCTAAACGTAATTGACCTATTGAATTGTCCATTGATTTATCTTCACCATAACCCAAAACAAAAAAATCCTCATCATTTTTTTCTTTTGTATTATTTATTGAATAATTATAATTTAATGAACCAATTTCAATCCATCCTTTCATAAGATTAAATTTTTTATTCAGTGTTAATATAGATATATCAGGTGAACCACCAAATTCATCATGATTATCAATAAAACCATGATTAAGTTGATCACATTGATTTTTATAAGTGATAGGATAATTAAATTGTGTACCGAATCGAAATTGTGTATAAGGTGAAAATCGTTCATCAATTTGTGTTAAATTTGCATGAACCTAAAATATAAAAAAACAAACAAATAAGATCTAAGATATTTCAATATTAGTAGTGACTCAGTGGTAACGTCTCTGACTATGAAACTGAGTGATACGGGAACGAATTCGTCAGGGTGTATCAGTTCCCTTAAGATGACAGGTACACCTTGTTGACGAATGTCAAGCATTTATTATTTAGTTATTTATTTAAACACATAAACATTGGTACAAGGTAGTATTAAATATTTATACACCACATAAATCATTCGATTTTTGTGAGAGCTGTCCCGGTGGCCAAACCGAAGCAGGTGGTTTTCATAGGGGGTGACACCCGGAACCTTCGAACTAATAGTCTGATCCACATGGCAGTGGATCAACGTCGTAAACAACACCCCTGCCGCGAGAAGACATTGAGTATCACGAAACCTAGGTCCAGGGTTTCCTGATGACTACCTCCAATTATTATCTTATCGCAACATAGTGTACACAATGTCGAGTCATCTAGACTGGTGGTTACATTGCAACTTGGTCGATAGGATTTGATCTGCATTAAAAAGGAAATGACATACATGAAATTGATCATTACCCAGTGAACAATCAATTGAAAGTGAGAAAAATAATAATTAAGTGAAGAGATTAAGAAAAGAAGTAGAATTTATCATTTTAGTTTTATAGTGGCATGGCTTCGAGATAATTCCTAAAGCTTCGTTTGTCAATCACCCTAATAATCGTTATTAAATAAACCCCAATGTTGTATAAATTTAGAAAGCAACAGAAAGCACCAACCACAGTTTATAATTGGATATCTCAGATAACAAAGTTACAAACGCACCAAGCGAATTTGAGCAGAAAGGTTAATGCGCGCGAGCAAACGAGTAAAGAGGTGGATTCAGAGTCAAATCTAATCGGATCGAAGAAAGGCAATTAATTAGATTTAAGCACATATACACATGGAAAAGCGAATGAATCATCGAGCGTTAGTTAAGTAACTAACATTTAAGCTAGAGAGATATATATGAGTAGGTTGTCACATGTAACCAAGAATACATGTCATACAAACAAGATAGTAATAATAATAATAATAGATATAGACAAATTGTTACTGTTCTAATAACACTGTCTGTCAAATAAGTTAGTAAAAGAGCCCGACAAAATTGATCGTAAACAAACTTCACTGTAGAAGAGGTTCTATAGTTTTATAGTCTTCGAATAATTGATTATAAATATATATTGGATGCTAACTGGAAATCGTGTAATTTTTAACCTGATCTGTTTACTAACTAATGCTTTACAACTAAATACGTAGTGACTGAGTATAATGAATACATCTATACGAAACTAATTGGTCATGAAGTAAAAACGCTGAAACTTATGTTTATCTATTACTAAAGAATTACAATTCAAGATGGGTTTCTTGGAGTTCTAATAGAAGCCGTAACCAGTGGAGTCCAATCCGTATCAGATATGAGACAGCTCTCTATATCAGACAATGAACGAAGGATTACACAAGATCATGAATCGATTGAATTTAGACAATAACACCTTTGGGTACTGGCTCAGTATGGTTTAGAGGTTAAGTGTTCGCACGCGAGACCGAAGGTCCTGGGTTCGAATTCCGCGTGCAGGTTTGTGGGTGTGCACTACCGGGAAGTCTCATACTAGGACAAAACGGTCGCCCAGTCCTTCCAGGTTTTTAATGGTGTTTAGCTTAGATTGACTCGTGAATTCAAATGTAAAAATTAAAATTCCTTCAAATATTTAATATTATTCGACATATTTTAGATTGAACCCAACTATAATTATGCAATCAACTAAAGTGATGTAGAGGTGTTGAACTGAAAAGAGGGGGACATGGGGAATATAATGAAAACGCTCTGAAAATGTAGTACATTGATAGGGTCAGTTTTTTTAGTTCATTGTTAGGGGATTATCCTAAAAAAACACGTTATTATTATTATTAATGGCTTTATTCAATATTATATTCTTGGTACAACTTAGAATTCTCGACACAGAACATTTCGACAAGTTTCCTTTTCTCATTTCTTGATCAATCCTGATGATAAATACTTATTTGTCTCCAGTTAAATATTAGCAGTTCAAGAATCCATATCTGAATAATGTTCATTCTTTTCAATACATATTGCCAGCAACCATAAATGTCGCCGATTGTACTTTCTGTAATTTGTACAGCGAAAGGTTGTAAACTTTTCATAAACACACCTGAATAGTTTATGCGATTGATAGACATAATGATGTGTTAAAACAAATAAAAACAGATAACTTGTTGAAATATCTAGATGAGAGGAACAAGTAGTCCAGATATTCAAGTAGGCCGCCAAGACACCGATATGTAATATTGATACACAAAGTACTTAGTTTAGACAGTACAAAATTACTTAAATTCAATATATAAAACTTTTTCTATCGTCATGGATTTGTTTTAAATAGAGGCGAGATATCATTCAGATATGTTACAATCATAGTAAAGCTGTAAGAACGGTAAAATAATCCTACAAGTTACTCTTTTAGTTTCTAGATAAATGGATTATTTCATTCTAATAGATTGTTATTTACTTTAAACAATGGATATATACAAGATTTCTTGTCATCAACTGAAATTGATTATCTAACCAATGAAAGCTTTGAAGCATTGAATAAATAAATTTTTTGACTTCGTTCAAGTTTCCTCCCTAGTGTACGCATACACATAACTCATGCACAATTAGATTGAGAATACTTAAGTCTTCCAGTAATCAAGATAGCATTGAACAAGTGAGTTGGAATCCAATAGTTTATAATTTCAACTTGCAACATAGCAGTCATTGTTCAATATTATCTGAGATATCTGTCTCATACATGATATTAATCACTTCATGGGTCACAGTTTTTTAGTAAGACGCTCAGAAATTCATCTTCAGGTTAACCATTAGTTAGTTGGTGGTTATTACTGATGAAAGTGTATTTATAAAGTTTTTTCCAGTATGATGATAAATTAACTAGTGTTAAAATAATGTTCATTAAATGGTAATTCAATAGTTTAGTTATATCATACTTAAAACAAAATTGTAAGTTTCTTTTGACCTTCTCATTCTGTGCATAATTTTTGTTGCTGTAATTTTCTGAGAAATTCCAAACTAGTCGTTGTTAGTTTGAGTAGTTTCTACCATTACGTTCAATCAAACCTTCATCAGGTTTTACTCCAATATACGTAGTTATATATATATATATATATATATATATATATATATATATATATATATATATATATATATTATAAAGCGTGGGTAAAAATATTTATTTTGGCCCAAAGACGACGTGAGTTTGAAAAGCCGAGAAATCTTCATCTCACCAGTCCTTCGTGTTTTTATTTTGAGCCGTAGTAGCTGAAGTGGTTCCCTCTTCAAAGTATAAGTAGTAGGATACCGGAATTGCAGTGATTCCTGACTGTTAAATATAAGCAGATAGATCACAGACTAAACATGTACAATAACAGCAACGATACGCAAACATAGCAATGGGGACGATTCTAGATAAAACAGTGACGAGGGGCGAATCTAACACTTCTATTTATAGATAGTTTTTGTACGGTCTCTATGGCATGGAACAGCAACTTTACAGCTATATCGTATGCAGAATGCACTTATCTAAATCTAGGAGAAGGGTAGTTGAAATTTGTAAGCTAATATAATCTACGTGATTGTTATTACTGACGAACAAGTATTCATGATGTACAATCTATTTGTATTAGTTGCCGGAATCTTCCGATTAATGCTTACGAGTACAATTGGTCAGTCTATTTTAGAATATGCAAATCCTGTATGGATTGCCTCGATATCGTCATTAAGTCACAAGCATTATAAGTAGAGACATATGGTGGCTAGTAGTGAAATCCAGGACGCACGTTCCGTCCTACTTAGAACTCAACAGATAGATGTATCTGGGTCCCAGAATTGATATTCATTCAGTAGCTATGTCGAGATAATGTGATGATGTTGAGTTCGAGTCCCGAAATGAATATCAACTCTGGGGTTCAGGTACATCAAAACGGACAAGTTCCAAATAAGACGAAACCTACATCCTGAATTCCACTGCTAGCCACCTATCTATTGTTTAAAAGTTAAATGTCTTAATCGTTAAGATATTATTTCATCTTATACATTAGTAACTATCATTCATTCAGTTATATTAAAAATCATTATACAAATATTTATCATAAACCATAAATAAACAACAACAACAAATTTATTCTTGCCTACCTACTTCATATGTTGGATCACCACATGCACAATGTCCAGCTGTTAAAACTTTATCAGGTGCTATAATTGTTCCAGTACATAAATGTGTATTACCAAGTAATAATACAATCATTGGAAATTCACCAGGATTTACTGGATAACCATTTTGTATACGATATTCTAATTGTGTTGCTAATAACATCAATAAATTCATGAATATACATAGAATAATTAAAATAATAATAATAATCCAACTATTTGTCAATTTTATACAATAACTCATTATTGATATGAATTTATTCTTTTTTTCTAACTGATAATGAAGATTTCCGAGTATTTAACGACAAGAACAACAACAACAAAAAACTGCCAACGAAATCACAAAAAAAAATTTTGTAAGTGCTTTATTGGTTGTTTTTTTCTCATTCACTACCACCACCCCCAGCACCAACAATAACAATAACGACAAAAAGCATTGAACACGCATATCTAGTGTACTATTGAACGATGGTCACATGATTTACTAATGTCGTATTATTTAATTAATATGGAACAAGTAACTTTGACAACAGGTCAGTATAATAATTAAGATTATTTTTTTTAATTACTTACTTAAGTTTGTTAACCCTCATAGATTGTCAATCAGCAATGTCCAACTCATTGTTTTTTTGGCTCTTCTTTCCAGTTATTGTCACATTCTATTTATTCTTTAGATATAGGCTTCCATTTCTTTGTGTAGTGTGTTCTGTTGGCCATCTCTATCAAGTTTATATTGAGGATTTCGAATTAAAGCTTACATTGTGATCCAGTTTGATGATTTCTTCAATATGTGTCACCACCTATTTTCCTAAGTTCTTATTTAATTGGAATCTGCTTTGTTCTCTGTCACAGTAGATTGTTGTTTCTAATGTCTGGTCAACGGATCTGGAGGATTTTGAGTGAACAGCTGTATGTAAATGGTTTCACTTTTTTGATAATGATTGTAGTAGTTCTCGGAGTTTAAACTCCATACAATAGAACTGTCTTCACTTATATATATATGACAAGACAAACAGGGAAAATTATGTATATTGATGGACCATTCATAAGTAACCAGTGAGGTATTGTTTTACAATTCACTGTTGATCTAATCGTTTCGACCAACCACAATGCAGTCAGTTTTACGAAGGAGTAAGTATGTAACTCAGTGATTTAGCTATACTTGTATCCTAAAGGAGATAGTCTGTTAATATGGTAGACTGTATACATACATTGAATTATTGATTAATTTATCCCGAATCCTAACCAGTTCAATGTATTAAATTTGATTACTGGTCAGTTAAATAAATCTGATATAACTCATTATATTGTTCATATGGTTGCTGATCAGTTTGTGGGTAATAAAGTATTCATCCGTAGTCTTACCTACCCACTTATATCTATTGGTATCAATCTGTCTTGTTCAGTTAAACTGTAGAAATATTTTGATCCAGTTACAGTAGTTACTGGTCTGGGCGGTTCGAAATTTCATACACCACATCTGGATGTCAGATGTGTGGAGAGAGTGGGCGAGAGACCCTAAGTATTTACTTCGTGCTAGTTGGCACTCATCATCGGGTGGGGGATCTGCAAACTTGAGGGAACTAATACTCCCTCCTGAGAGTCGAACCGTCACCCAGTATTACACTAAGAAACGTTAACAATTAGGCTAATTTTTTTTCTAAAGCCTGAAAAAAAAACCAACTTATGATAAATACTCATGTTTACTTGAACAGGCGTATATAGTTACCAGATAGGTATTTACTCTAGGTATTTATTTGTAGACTCTTGACCTCCTTTTACAGAGTTTGCGTATCAAAAGCTATTTGCCATCGGTTACGGAACTTTTTTAAGGCAAGACATGTATTACTTTATTTATTTATTTAAACATATAAACATTGGTACAAAGGTAGTACCAAATATATATGCACCACAACTCATCATTCAATTTGTGTAAGGGCTGGAATACTACCCGGGTGCCCAAACCAAGGCAAGTAGTTTTCTCAGGGGTCAGCACCTGGAGCCTTCGACCTAAAAATCTGATCCACACGGCAGTGGATAAACGTTAGGAGATTCACTCCCATGGTAGCCAGTGACCAACAATTGGTCCACACACCATTTGTTCCTTCAGGATCCTGAAGCCAGTGTGAACCAATGGTTTGAAATCATAGTTTCCCAACTTCCCTAGGTGGATACTCAGTACCCACCAATCCGGTTAAAGCTCCAGACATTCGCTTTTTGTCCTCTCAATTTCGTAAACAACAGTAATCTCGAGAGAAGGCAGTGAATAGGGCTTCTTTGGCATTGCTCTGTAACAGGTCTTCTATAATCCTACATTCTGATAATGAAAAGTTGAGATCACTTTATCGTCACTACACATTACTACATAGTGAATATCACATTTAGAGCACGGTGACATTTGTAGTTTAGTTCAATCAAAGATACTTTTATCCTATCTGATTATCATCCCCTTTCGTTCAATAAAATGATTAGTTTTAAAATGGTAACTATTAGTTATTTTCTGAAGTTATATAAAATGTAAATAATGCAAAGTTGTGACGGACACTAATAATGCGTTCTTGATTACGCTGTATCTGGTAGCGTTCCAGTTGCTTGAGGCGTTAGAAAGCTCTATCAGAGATTATGTAAGGGGAACATACTGACATAATGCGGTTCGTAATTCTATTTCCATAAGAATAAGAAGCTGTATATAATATTTGTGTTGAAGAGATGGTCGTAGAATTGTCCGTGGATCTGCACAGCTTACTAGACCAAGAAGGTAAGTTGATTAATGTTATTATATTTTTCCTGAAGAGCTGCAATAAACATCCAGCATCCTGCCTTCATTTGTTGTAAATTTATTGAAGGTTACTGAACTGTTGTTCGGAGTAACGTGCATCACGATCATGAATTCGATTTCCTGAGGTACGACAATAATTCGGGATACTCAGGCCAACTGACTTGAAGTTCAGAACGATCCGACCTCTTCTGATTTCGAAAACAGCAGCTTTCAATGCTGTACAGTTTGTGCAACAGTCTCATGGGAAGAGCCTGAATCCTCAAGATGCACTTAATATGCGTCATAAAGTGCCCCCATATGTCAGTATTCCAGTTAAGTAATGTTCCTATTAATATCATGAATAGTAGGCGATTATGGCAAATTGTAAGCTTACATCACGTCATTTAGTGGGTTTTGGGAATATCAAATAGATTAAAAAATGATCTTTAGTATTTTTTTTCTTCTCAACTGCCGATTACACCAATTTTACACGTCGTATCCTTGATGTCGCTGATTTTGACGGTACCTAAGAATTGTTTTGTATCGAACTGTGGCTTCAGACATGAACCCAGTGGCAATACTTGTCTGCATAACCACTAAAAGTCCTGAGACCTTGGTACTGTTGTCACGATTTCTGTCATTCTCCGGGCGCTCAACTGACGATCAAGAGTTAGTTGAGATTATCACAGACGACTCACTGGAGATAGCTGCTGCAATAACGTAAGTGTATCCCGACTCTTATCACATTTTATGTCGTTCATACCTCATTCGGGAAGTAATCATCGAGTAGTCGCGTTATGTAATAATTATGTGATGATACATCGATTATAAAAATAATAACTGTAAGGTGATTACTCGAAAAATCAAACAATTACTAAGTTGCATAATATATAATAAGAAGGGACTAACTAAATATTTGGTGAAAGGTCATTGTTATATTAGTTGTGTAAGAATCAAACGATGAATTTTAGAAAATCATTTAGATATCTTTGAACAAAAGGGTTTAATCAAGGTTCAGCTAAAAAAAACCCTGTTGTACCGATAGTTCAAGGTAGAAAGAGTGGTTCTACAAACTTCTGTTGGATGTACAAGTTAGGATTGTGAACATGGGTTCCGATAACTTCAACACTGTGCGAAAGAAGAACTAGTAAATTATGTGGTGAATTTGATGGAATATGATGGATAACCTTAAAAGTTTTATTCAAGTCAAATTGATGACCTATGTTTACCAAGTCAGTGAGAATAGAACTCTTGATCACTTTTACTTGTCCTTTGATCAACCAAGACAGATGGTATTGTGGTATGTGATGACGGACTTGTTGAATTGTACGCTCTATATAACTGACTCCACAGGAGCAGTTGAATTGGCAAATACACTTGGATGTGGCAAATTCAGACAGTTTGTCAGTAAAGACAAACAGACAGACCGTCCGTTATTTTAGTTTGTACGATCATATCACTTCTAAATTACATGAAATAATCATAATCACTGCCCGTGAACTCCATTGATACTTAATCGGACTCAAATATTACTTGACCTTAAAATGTTCATTAATGTAGACAATCGTTTTAAGAAGATTAAAGTTCAGTTATCATTAATATTGCATTATTTTATGGTAGGTATTTCTATGGCTGAGGTCTACTGAACTGATATTTAAATAAATCTTCGTCAAACCCTAATGAATATGCTACATAATAACTTAATCAAAATAATAATAGTAATAATAATAATAATCAGATTTTAGTTCACGGATTAGTAATACAGTTTCATGGTTCAACAAATGTCGATATCATCTCATGAAAACTGATCTGTTTACTAATTGAACATATTAACCTGAATAACAATTTTTAATATTAGACTCGCTAAGCTGGTCAATTTAGGTATTTCATGACAAAATTAAAATTAAGTATATGCTGTATGCTACTTATGTTAGTAGTATGTAAGTAGTATGTAAAACCAATTATAAGTAGAATGCCTGTCAGTAGAAGATTGAGAAGATCAAATTGAAGAAAACAGGAATGTAAACAGAGAGTAATTTTAATGAAAATAGAATTGAAAGAATCATGAAGCATTTAAAGGACAACTGAAGGAAACTGGGCAAATGATGTATTTTACGTATGGTTATCATATTTTATAAAAGCTCTCTGAAATTTGGACTAAACAATAGATTGGTTATCTTTACCGAGTCTTCCTTTACTACAAGTAAAGTGAAACATTAGGATATAGGAGTTATGCTAAAAGACAATGAACATCATATTATTCTCACAAAATACTATCTACGTTTTAATCACTTGTCGTCAGTGGTTATCACTGAAAAATAGAGCTATTCGGGTTTGGTATCAAAGTATTTACATATTGGCAAGAAGTACAGAAATGTTTAATAGATAAATAAAATCATTTTAAATGTGATTTTTTAAAGGATTGTTGAAAAGGCACTGAATACAATGTATGTGACCAATAAGATCATGAATCGACCAATGTTAGATTACCGTTGAGAAACTAGAAGTACCGGATGGCTGATTCGTCCTAGTATAAGACTCCCACACGCGG